CTTGTTTTCTACCACTTTTTGTCGCATACGCGCTTCAACAAGACACAGAACGGCTCTGATGGCGTGAGACACTCATACTGCCTGACACGCCCAACCGTCCGCAGCGAATTAGTGTATAGCTTGCGACCATGAAGAAATGCAAGTGCAGAAATGAAGAAGTGCGGAATCTGCAGAAATGACTAAAAGCATATACATATCGATTGGAAGAAATGCAGAAATGCGGAATCTGCAGAAATGCGGAAATGATGAATAGCTGAGTTGACAAGTATCAAATCCTTTTCGTCATTTCAGCAGATTCCGCATTTCCGCAGTTTCCACATTTCTGCAAATTCCGTGTTTTTGCATTTCTTCATTGCTGCATTTCTACAAATCGATACGTATCTAATGCTTTTCGTCATTTCTGCAGATTCCGCATTTCTTCATTTCCTGCATTTCTTCACGGTCGCAAGCTATGAACGCGGCCTAACAGCGGCTCTTGTGGTGCAACGGATAGGAAAGGCGTGATGTAATGGTTTGAGTCCTCCCTGGGGTCAGGACTTTCGCCCACAACTGCATTCTTGTAGTAATAGAAACTCCAGTTTTGCACAATAAGTCTTTCAAATGACCTCGACCCCTTAGTCGACTTGTCCGGCTCCCATTTTTCAAGGGGGAATAAAAACACATAATCGCTTACATACCCAAATGAACGCAGTTTGATTTGAAGTGGTTCAGGTCTGACCAAATATTGGCGAGGGGAGATAGCCAGTGGCTCTCAAATGAAAAATCTAAAGTCTTACAATATGGTTAGTTTGAAATTCCTTCCAGGTTGATTAGAATAAAAGGATAAAGTATTCGCCGTTGATGAGGTCCTTTTTGGGAAGCTGGGCGTTCTAATTGCATTCAGAATGTAGTGGCTTATTTAATGTGGCCTGTACAATGACTTTTGGGAGCCAGCCGATGTAAAAGACAGTGTTTTATACTCCCAGACAGGCTGACTGAATAGGGTTCAATTGCTTGATGAGGACAGCTAGCTGGACATATTTGCCCTGATTCCGAAGGTCCATCTCAAATGCATGGCGCATTTGGCCGATCCATC